CACACAGACACCCGCACACAGATACCCGCACACGGACACCCCCGCACACAGACACCCACACACAGACACCCGCACACGGACACCCCCGCACACAGACACACGCACACAGACACCCCCGCACACAGACACACGCACACAGACACCCGCACACAGACACACGCACAGACACACCCACACAGACACCCGCACACGGACACCCCCGCACACAGACACCCGCACACAGACACCCCCGCACACAGACACCCGCACACAGACACACCCACACAGACACACCCACAGACACACCCACACAGACACACGCACAGACACCCGCACACAGACACCCCCGCACACAGACACCCGCACACAGACACCCCCACACACAGACACCCCCGCACACAGACACCAGCACACAGACACCAGCACACAGACACCCGCACACAGACACCCACACACAGACACACGCACACAGACACACAGACCAAAGAAGTGACTGAAAAGTGCAATAAAAGAATAACAAAAGGATTTTTTTCTTCCCTTCTCTAGTCTCCAAATTTCCTCTAGTATAGTTTTGTTGTTTTTATAATGAATTATAAAAATACAGCTTTAGGGGCCAGTCAGACTCTGCTACTTGCTGGCCACGAGACTCTTAGGAAAGTTTCTTAAGTTTTGTTGAATCTGGGCTTCCTCATCTCAGAAATGATGCTCCCATCGAACTCCTCCTTTGGCTGATGCAGAAACTGTGTGAGGCCCAGTCGGGGCAAGTGTGTCCACAGCAAACGCTAATTCTCTGTTTTCTCAGCTCAGCTTTTAGGACTGCCGGGTGGATAATGATAGGTGTATTAAATTAAAGGAATACACAGTTGATGCGTTTTACAGGGGCTGCCATGGGAAAACTTCCTAAGGAAAGTGAGGTTCTCTCCTTCTGGGTGGGGAAGTCCCAGGGGTTGCTGAAGTCCATGTGCGGCCAGGAGGGACCGAACGCTCAGTTGCAGAAATCCTGGGGTGGACAGGCTTTAAATGTGACAGAAAAACAGGCAAGTTTAGGACAGAGAAAAGCAGTCACTGCTTTGCAAGGTGGAAAGGAAACTTTGAGGAGTCTTTTCCTAAGGACAGTCTGGCTGGGGGTGTAAATGGATTTTAAAAGTTCTGAAACATATATGCATATATATTAAGTTCTACAGCAGCAGTCCCCAGACTTTTTGGCACCAGGGACAGTTTCATGGAAGACAATTTTTCCTCGGATTGGGGGTTGGGAGGCAGAGCTCAGGCAGTGATGTGAGCAATGGGGAGCGGCTGGAATACAGATGAAGCTTCACTCACTGGCTCGCCTCCTGCTTGTGGCCCCCAGTTCCTAAGTTTCATGGACGACAATGTTTCCATGGTTGTTGGTGGGAGTGGAGCTCTGTGGCCTGGGGGTTTGGGGACCATGGTTCTACAGGAGCCACGTGCATCAGGATCGAGGAGAAAAAGGTGTGTCGCCAAGACCACTGGTGCGGCCCCCAATAGACCTGCCTGAGCCCCCGGCTTTCCCTGTGGAGCGAGCCCACAAGTCCTGGGCTGGCTGCGGGGGTGCTCACCGGTGACATCCGGCCAGAGCCTGTCTGGGGTCTCCACTCTCCAACAAGCTCTTTAATGTTCCTCCCTCAGAGCCCGCGTGTGCAGGGCAGGTGTGCCGGTTTAACACAAACTTCTCTTTCCTTTGGGGCCTATTCTAAGCTCAGGAGTCCATGTGCTCGGCCTGAGGTGCCTGCGGCAGTGAGGAGGGCCCGGCTGGCGCCCTGGGGAGCCTGGCAGGTGTTCAGAACCCAGAGCAGCACAGGTCCGGGGTGGCCCCTTGTCCTCACCACCAGGTGACAGACGGTGGCAGCTGCTCTCGTTCAAAGTGGGTCTCCCGAGGTGGGAGGCTCCCCCAAGGCTCCCCCACCCTGCAGAGTCTGGAAGCAGGAAATGTTTCCAACAGAGTTACACACACACACACACACACACACACACATGCATGCGCACACACGCATGCGCACGCACACACACTTGTGAGAACGAAAACTGCAAAACAAACCAGACAGATAAAAACAAAAATGAACACACAGAAAATAACGAAATGGGCCTGTCACAGTGAGGAAAATCGAAGGGAGGCCAGGTCCCAGGCCCCAGGTCAGAGGGCCTACCTGAGAGCTCAGAAGGGCAAGGGCTGACGCTGTCCTGGGGCTCCTGCCTGCACCGAGCGCTCTGGGGGGACCATGTACAAATCCTGCCATAAGGGCTACTCTCGAGCCACGGCACCCAGCCCCTGAGGAGCAGGGGCCTTAAGCTGGCTCCTGGGCCACACCGGGTGAGGCTGGAGCACCAGGTCCCCAGGGAGTGTGGCCCAGGACAGACCTACCCCTGAGTGGCGCAGCCCAGCCGCTGCAGCCCAGACCCCAGACCAGACCCATGACTGTCGAGTGATGTGCTGCGCCCCTGGGCAGCCCTCGCTCCGCAGGAGGGTGGGAGCGCCACAGACCAGCGCTCAGTGGCGTGAGCGCTGTTCAGCTGTTGGAGCAACGTCTGCAGAAGGCAGACTGCTGCCGCTGCGTTCAGGCAGAGCTGCGCCCAGCTTCCCTGGAGCGCCCGCAGACGCTGGGTGAACCGCACACTGCAGCAGGGATTACTACTAGCTGAGACAGCAACCCGCCCAGGTCACCCCTGCAGGTCCTGCAGCTGTGATTGTCTGTGTGGAAGGAGCCCGGAGTGGGTGGAGCCGGGTGCAGGCGTCTGGACCCACACTCCTGTGCGCTCGCGGCTGCACGCCCTTCCTCAAGTCACTCACCTCCCTGAGCCTCAGTTTCCCTCTCTGCAGATGGGGAAACAACACTGGCAGTCAGGGCTATTGTGAGGAACAATGGTGCCTGGTGGGCTGTGCAGACAATCGTTTTGTCTGCTGGACTATTTCTCGTTGCGCCTTGACGAGACCAACACTGTCTCGGCTTCCTTTCACGGCCTGGTGGGATTTCATTGGCTTAAACACCTACTCTGTGTTCCTGCCTTCTACACTTTTCCCGTGGGTCCTAAACTCATCTGTCTTTCATCTCCCGGGCTATCTTTAATTCTGATCCTTGAGTTTCTCTGACCACATTTTCTTTCTAGCTTTCTATCCACTCTCTCTGCACGATCCCAAGGTTGCTCACGCGATGCTGCGCGTTGCTTCACTGCCGTGAACCGCAGGTGGGCTGGTCACCCCCAGGTCCCTGCGTCCACGTCATCCTCACCAGCCACGCACCCGGCGCTGACCCCACATGTACTGAGCACTCCTATGTGCCAGGCGCTGTGCTAGGTGCGGTTGGGGGGGCAAGCGGCGGAAGGACACGGGGCGGGGAGGAGTTAGTTCCGGTCCAGGTGCGGGGATGGGGGAGAAAGGGGGCCTGGCTGTGAGCTGGGGCGGGAGGGCACTGGCGCCTGGCCCCCACAGGATGACCTGACTTTATGAGTTTCTGGAATTATGTCCCCGCTCCTTTCTGATGGAGATGGTGCCGGGCTGGGCGGGCGGCCTGGGGGATGCTCGTGGGAGGTGGCAGGCGGAAAGGCCAGGGAGGGCTCCAGCGACTGGCAACATGGAGTCGCCTGGCTAATTTGGGGACCTCTCGCGTCTCTATTGGAAACGTGACTTGGAGCAGAGAGATGGGCAAGTGCGCTCTGGGATGCCCATGCGCGAATGCGGGACCTGGCTGGTCCTGGGCCTCGGGGAGCCCCAGTGTCCTCATCTATGCGGGGCAATGGGCGGCGGGGACTCCCGCAACAGGACGGAGCACCCAGCATAGCGCCTGGCACATAGCGTCAGGACAGAGACGACAAGAGCAGTCGTATGAGTCATCCGAGAAAGGGAGAAGAAAGAAAGTTCATGCGTACTTGGCGTGGAGCGTTTTTCAGTACTTACATCTGACCTTGGGTAGGGCTGATGCTCTGGAAATTCAGAATCCTAAACAAAACAACGAAGCCACAGTGTGGGGACCTGGCTCAGGGAACCCGGGCCAGCGGCAGGCTCCCCTGCTGTCCATCCCGCTCGGCCCCCCTCACCAGCGCCCTCTGGCCTGGCCCTCGCGCACTCCGCGCACTCCGTGCCCTCCTCCCTGGGCAGGCGCAGCGGCAACTAAGCATCTGGTCTTTGAGACTCCACTGCCCACAGGCTGAAGGGAGGACGCCGGAGGGGAGCCGTGTTAGCCAAGGACCTGACCGTCCACCCTGCTTAACCAGGTCTTTGAAGGGAAGAGTCGCCAGGGACCAATCAGAGCTCCCTGCTGTCCCTGGCGCACCTAGTTTATCTGTCACTAGGACGACGTGCAGGGTGGAGGAGAGGCCTACGTGGAAGCCAGCCGGTGCCGCATGCGCAGGGAGGAACCCACCGCCAACTCAGTGTCTGGGGCGGACACCTGGGGCCTTGGCGGACAGTAGGTCCACCCTCCGTCGTCTGAAGCTGGGGATGCGCATCTGTGACCACAGCTGAGCACCGCCGGGTGCTGGGGCGGGGAGAGGGCCTGTGGGGCCCACGCTCGGCATCGCCTGAGCCCCAGCTGTGTCCTGGGAGGACTTGCTTTTCCTTTGACCTTTTATTTCCAAGGATTGTTTCTCCCACTGGACTGGCCACAAGGCAGCAAAGCTTTTGAAAAACCAAGCTTCAACTGAAACCCACCCTCTTAAGTCTCCACACTAAGGAGACATTGGCCCCTAGAAGGTGCTCAAGCTGGGGTGGAGTCTTCCAGGGTGGGGTCTTCCAGTGAGCTGGGGCCCGGATCACCCTGGGGCGCCAGCTTTGCGCTCTAGTTTCACGGCCTTATGGAGGGTCAGGGTTAAGGCTGAGGCCCAGGGTGGTCGGTCGGAGCTCTGACTTATTCTAGGCGTGGGCAGCCCTGGCGGAGCTGCCCAGGGCCGGGCAGCAGGGGTGGCTACCTGAATCCCGATGGAAGAGCGGTGGCCCTTGAGCAGCTCCTCAGCCTTGGACGCCAGGATGGCCTTGTCGCTGGTCCGCATGGAGCTGCCCTGGCTGTCCTGGAGGTGACGCTGGGCCGCGGCTGTTTCCAGGGCGAGGTTCATGGCCTTGTTGCTGTCGAGACTGTCCGTGGAGTTGTAGAGGCCACGGCCGTCCTGGGGCCACGGAGACATCCTCTGGGCACGGCTGTCCTGGTAGGCGTCCTGGGTGGACTCGGTGCTGCTCTGGGCCGTCACTGAGATCAGAGGCTTGGAGGTGGTCCGGGGAGGTACGGGTGGGGGCGTTTTTTTGTAGTTTGTGTATGAGACAGCTGGAAGAGAGAGAAACCCGGGTCAGCAAGCCTGTTCTCCCCACCAGCACCTGGTCTGAGGCTTCCCGTAGTAACACCCTGTGGTCCGTGTCGTGGGTCTACCCTTGGGTGCACATGTGAAATGTGGTAAGAGTGAGATTGTCTATGTGGATACACTTGTAACAGTGAAGCATTACAGAAACAATGTAGAAAACCCAGCAATAGAGACAGGACGGAGCAAGGCGTGTCCTGGCAGCACAGAACGGAGCCCCACCTCAGTCTCCCTGGGAGGCTTCATCCCACTAAGTCAGCAGAGCAGGCAGGACACAACGCGGCACATGGGCAAGAACGGAGCATATTTGGGAAGAAAACTGCGTGAGAAAAGATGAGCAGGACATAGAACGTCAGTTGCGGCTCTCCTTGAGTGACAACATGGCAATTGTTTGCTCTTCTCCCAGACTGCATTTTCTAAAAGTCATTACAATGAATACTATTATTTTGTAATGGAGAAAACATATGAGAAAATTATTTGCTTCCCCATAAGTACAGGCTCAGTGGGTACAAATCGAGAACATCCCCTGCGAAGTGACACGAGGGGCCTGCTCTGCCGGCCTGTCTCCCTCCTCAGCCTGCACGGCACAGGCGTGGTCTGCACCGCCAGCCAAGTCGACCAGCCCTCTGGGGCTTCACTGGGCGGACCTCAAGTCCTCCCTCTGCCAAATGTTTCCGCAGTGTTAGCTGGGGGTGGTTTTGTCCCCTCTCCTCCAGGAGACACTGGGCGACGTCTGGAGACATTTTTGGTTGTCACGCTATGCCAGGTGGAGGTCAGGAGTGCACAGATCAGCCGAGACGCGTCCACCCCGAACGCCAACAGAGCCCAGGTTGAGAAGCCCAGGTTAGCCAACCACGGCGTCTTTCTGGGGTCTCATCTGGCACGTCTCTGGGATGGTGGTCCATTTAAAGTTTGGTTTCTATTAAGCTTTTCTTAGCAGCTTTTCAGAGCACTGAGCTGTCAAGCATACTGAACGTGGCGTACACACGTGAATGGGACAGACAGTGGGGAGTATGTGAAGAGAGCTCACTGGCCAAGAGTTTTCCATGTGGCAGTGTTGGGACATAGGTGGTCGTTTTCACATTGACCCATTGGTGTGGCTCATTTACGGGAAGGGGAGTCTTCATCCCTTACCGACACTCTCTGGTTCTGCCGACCCCGCAGACCCCAGCACGGCCTCGGCCGGGCCTGCACGGCGCCCAGGGTGCCGCACTCCGGCTCTCCTCAGCAGAAACTCGGACGCTAAAGCGCTCTCACGCCCTGGCAGCCGCAGCACTGACAGCGAAGCCAACAGAGACACCAGACTGTAGATTAAAAGCTGCATCTGCCTTAAAGTAATTATCTCTTTCTTTGCAATGTTGAGATGAGTAGAAAGATACTGATAAAAATGCCATATCGGTTGGATTTCCTGGCTATGCTCATTGTCGCTGGTGAACAATGACACACATGCAAGCGTGAGGATGGCGTGTTTGAGACCTTCCCAGAACACATGACCAAAGGCACTCAAATTCATTCCCAGTTTGACCCGTTAACTATTTCAGTTATTCATAAAGGTTTCTTTTACCACTGCTCAAGATTATAGATATTGCCAAATGTATTGAAGTAAAATTAAAAAAACAAATTAAGTCTGAAAATTTGACAAAACAACTCAGATTTTCTTCTTGTGTAGGGTACCTTGTAAATTCAGAAAAATTACACGGAGTGTTCTGACTTCTCTCTAGGATCACAAAAAGTCAAGTATCACATCTTTTCACCTTGTGTTTGCTGCAGGACGATATGCATTTTTTGAAACCAATTTCTTTGTAAAAATGTAGTTGCATGGCACAGTTTTTACACTAATTAAGAAGGGTCAGTTCATGTCAAGTACACATAGAGAATTTCCTTTTGTCAACCCAGGGCGGGGGTAGTAGGCACGGTGATTTCTCCTGGATGACAAGAGAAAGATTTTATGCTGTTTTCAAACTTGTGTCCAGGTGTCAGCCAGCCCCTGTCAGAGCCTCTAAAATGGAAACCCGACTCGATGGGGAGGCCATGCCGGGGTGGCACAGAAGGCTGCCACCAGTTGGCTTTGGTGAAAGTTACAGCCCAATTTTTCTAACAGAGCATTTTGTTCTTCACCACGGCAGCAGAGCCTGAATGTGCAAGTCATTCTTTAGGTGACTATATTCTCCTAATCAACATTGTAAGAACTAAATCCAAATATGTATTTTTTTTTTTTTTTTGCTTAAAAAACCAACTGCTCACTGGCATTGAAACTATGTGCCCATCAAACCACGCACGGGTGTTTTATGAAGACACACAGCTCCGCCGAGGGGTGCTATGGACGCTCCAAAGAACCATCGCTGGGAGGCTGAAGAGACCAGGGATCCCCCATGCTGGGCACCGATGTAAATGCCTTCCAGGTTCGTCTGACGCTTTAGCATCGTGCGGGTCACCAGGCTGCAGGTCAGTGCACAGTAAACACTGACATGCAGCCTGTGTCCTGTCCCATGTGCTCAACACACAAACGGAAAGATGGACGTAAGCACTGGAGGGGCAGCGTCAGGGACAGGGACTCAGTCAGGCTGGCTCCTGGGGGATGGCCCTGGCTGTGTCTACAGGGGACAGAGCTGGCTGCAGAGCACCCTCAGGCTTGACAGGAGAATCGCATTGGGTGTGGCATCGGAAAGAAGGGCCAGTGGCAGTCAACAAGAAGACGATTCTCTGACTCAAAGATACTCCAGATTTTAATTTGATTTTCCCCCCAGGGGTCTGGAGGCTTTTGTCTGGGGGCTGACTTGGCTGGTGACACTAGTCTTCTTTAGAAGTGTCATTGAGTTTCCTCAAATTGTTTACTTTCTGGGGGAAATGTCGAATGTCCATTGTGCCCCCTAGATGAAAACACGCGTGCGACTGTGTGAACTCTTGCTCTGAGACATCCCCTGTAGCATTTTCATATCTTCTGCCAATGACTGCAGTCGTTCGCCTTCTAGAATAATGACGCATCTTGTTCAGATCTTAAACTCACTGCAGTGGAGCCTCGATCACAGAATCAGTAGCAGCGGTCCGTCCACAATCCCAGCGAGTGGAAACAGGCCAGGCAATTTCCTCCCCAGCACGTGGACAGGAAGTGGATCCCAGCGGCCAGAAATTTGCAGCGTTCGCTGTGGAGTGCCGGCCGGCTCCGCTTCCGCCGCACCGTGCGGGGACGCGCCTGCCTTGTGGTCCTCGCGGAACCGCAGGTCCTCTCACCAGTGGAGAGCCCAGGGGAAAGTTCTGGCTTTGTTCACGTGAACATTTGAGGTTTCCCAGTGCGGGACCTGAGCTGCCCACTCTCCACAGGAGGGGCTGCGTGTGCTGGGGACGTTCTCAAGCCCCTGAAAGTATTATTAACCCTTCTCCATGTGTTTCCCTTTGTAAGTGGCCCCATGGAAAATCCAACACACAGTTTCAATATAAATAAATAGCTGAACCCTGATGTTCAGAGACTTGTTAATACAAATTTTATAGATATTAAAGAAAGAAACAGATTCAGAAATACACGTAAAAATTCCAGCACTCGGTTGCCAGACTTCCGGATGGTGATACAGTCCAGGTCTGGGACAGGCATTTGCTGTACATGTTCTGAATGTGACACTTGTCGCTCACACTTACAGTGGTCCTATATGCACGTAATAGAAGCCCTCACGTTTTTTCTGAGTGCGAGTGTTGATAGTAGAGCAATAAATCACTTTTACATTCCTGATTAATTGAATATTTTTGAACTTTATAATTTAAAAATTAAGTCTTAGTTGTCAGTCCTGGGTAAATAAAAATTACAGTACATGAAATACTTTAGCTATAGAGACTAGCATTGAGAAATGATTTTTGAAAAATTCAAGCATATTATTGTATGCATTCATTCATTCATTCGCCTATTTTCTGGGTAAACATTTGCTGTGTGTATACAGTTTGGTGTGACAGAATCGTGGATTCCTTAATGGCGAATTAAAAGTGGAATTCGAAGCTGGGAAACAATAGTAAAGGAAGAATTAAAAACGATCATTTGATCCCATTAATTTACTGCCACAGATTAAAATCAACGATTAACAGAAGCATTTTACACATTCCAGAAAAATATTCAATTACTCAGTTGGATAGGTTGGCTGTTAATAATTGACCTAATTATGTTTATGTGACTATACCATTAGAATATACTTACCAAAACTAATCATTAGTTACAGGCAATGTTATCAACCACTTTAGGTATGTTGGGCGAACATCAAATATATTTGAAAATTTTAGATTTAATGTAGCAATATAACTGAAAGTATGTACATCTTCAAAAAGAAGATGGAGCAAGACAGAGACAGGTATTCCTAAACAATCCTATAGAAGACATTTAAACATAAGTGATGAAATCTGTATTTTGAAATTTAAAAAATGAAATGATTATTTAATATTTGGAAGTATCTGAGGACCTGAGGACTCTCTCCAAGAAAGACATTCAGGTCCAGGCATGAGCATCGTTTTGGTTTTAAAAGCCTATTAGTGGTTTCTTTTTACCATGTACATAACACATGAAAATCCCTGGTGACTTTTTAGAGTGGTTTGCTAGTTACAGGGAAAGACGTGAAAATGCACCTCTGCTTTGTAATTCGATTATTGGGTCCATCTGGTTCTGCCGGTTTCCCGGGGCCAGACAGGCTGGGGACAGGCCCCATCGATGCTGGGGCTGGAGGCAGAAGCAGCTGTCTCAGGTGCCCCCTGAGCACACCAGCCCAGTGTCAGGACTTGTGCACAAAGGGAGGTTTACTGCAGCATTTACGACAGGGGGGCCATGCATATCACACATTTTAGAAAGATTTCTATAAAAATCGCATGAAACTGAAAGTGTTGGTGCTCAAAAGAAACTACGCAGGTATCGTTCTGCCCCTGTGGGAGTTGAATGAACGAGGCAGGGAAGGCACATTAGAACGGCGCTTTCCCTGACATGTTTGGGATCGGGCTG